ATGATGTGATGTTTAGACGACTGACAACAAAACAAATAAAAATCATAATGTCTTCGAGAAACATCAACACAACTGAATCACCTAAAGGAACTGGCCTAAAACAAAAAAAAAGGGGGCCCCTATGCAAAAGAGTATAATAATGAATGACAGATGTCTGGTATCCAGGTAGCCAAATCAATCTGTGTACACAGGGCAAGGTTTATCATATCACGGCTTGGTTGGTATTGTGGTTATCCTAACAGTGCATGCACCTTGAACAGCCAAGGGCTGTGGTGTAAAGATGGCTAGGTCTGTACTTCTCCTAGTCATAGCGTGTGCAGTGGTATTCCTGTCTTGTGTTCACCTTGGAAATTCTCAGTGTGATAGTAAGTCTGTGCTAATCTGAGCCATACAGAATAGGATGTTGAACTGATACTAACACATGCAGCTGTGAGGATCGGTGCAGTTGTGTTTGAAACTCTGCAACCATTACTGGACGGCATCAGGAGTGACATTGCCTCTCTCGCTGAGATAGTGAGCCAGCAAAATGAGACACTGATACATCTGAACGACAGTGTGGTAAGCCTAATGAATGAATTCGATGAGTACAAAAGTGAAGTTAAATCTGATGTTGTAGCACTGAATTATTCGATTTCAAATGTCCTTGGAGATGAGTTAAGTCTTATCAATGAGAAAATAGACAAACTTCAATTGACACTTGATTCACTGGACACTAAAATAGATATAGAATCAACCTCGCTGGAGACCCAAGTTATCTCTTCTCATGCTAAACTGGATTCACTGAATGACTTGATAAGTGAGGACATAATGTGTGGGCTTAGTAGTGTGGCAGACAGAATACGTGACAAGATTGAGGAAAACGAGGGAAAAATTAGACTCAGCTGTTTGAAATAGGGCAAGGAATAGTCTGTTATACATGTGGAGGTACAGGAGGTTGGAGACGTGCGGCCTACCTTGACATGACAGACCCCAACACCAACTGCCCCTCTGGCTGGAATATGACTGGATACTCCAAGAAAACTTGTGGTAGAGCTACAGATGGATTGAGTACTTGTGACTCAGTCTTCTTCCCCATCAGTGACGGTCCATACAGTCAGGTGTGTGGTAGAATTAGAGCCTACCAGTGGGGATTGCCTTTTGCCTTTCATGGCTCTGGTGTTTATGGTGGAGGTTCAATTGATGATGCATACTTCAGTGGTGTGGCTGTAATGCATGGCACCCCTCGACAACACATCTGGACATTTGCAGCTGGGGCAAGGGAAAATTATACAGCTGCTTATTTTTATTATTACTTCATGTGTCCCTGTGACAACGCTGGATATTATAATCCTCCACCATTTGTTGGTGAAGATTACTTCTGTGAGTCAGGGAATTTACACCCAGGTCATTATACACTACCATGGAATAGATTCCACTCCAATGACACTCTCTGGGATGGTAAAGACTGTCACTCCACCAGTACATGTTACTCCCTCCACAATCCTCCATACTTTACCAAATCTCTCAGAGAGCCCACCACTGATGACATAGAGTTAAGAATGTGCTTCTATTTTCCACAATACTCTGAAAACTTAGCAATTGAGCTAGTTGACTTGTATGTCAAGTGATCAATGGTTGACTATGGTAGTCGAGACTTTCAGTTTGTTGCTCTAAATTTCAGATTAAACTCCCTAAACTCTATAAAATCTATACACATTCGTCTGTAACTTGTCATGTGAATGAGTGAAATGTTTGAATCTACCACATGTACGGCAGGCATCAGAGTGCAGGTCAAATATACAAGGGGCACGTGGCATAATTTTTTTGAAGAATGGATAACTCAAAATTGATGTGTATACAAAAGCAGATATTATCAGCAGTCACGAAAAGTGAATGTGCTGAGACTCGCAACATAGAGAGAGCAAGATCCTAGCTGGTATATATAACCAGGGGCCGATGCAAGCGCTACTGGCAGGGTACTGGGGGTTACACATAGCTATTTAGAAACCAGACGTCAGGGTTTCCATGGCTAAAATGCCCCACCTGCTTGAGCAAAGTACAAAAACGTTTGGGCCACCCATTTGCTTTGCCTCCTGTTCAAGGACTAGCTATTACAATGGAGAGCCAGTGAATAGTGAAAGATAGCCATTATGGACAAAGGACAGGGCCACATTGTGAACTTATGTGATAAGAGTGTATACCTTTCCAATTCTGATATAAGTGTATTGTGTCTCGTGTATATCACATGTGCTACACATTAGACATAATCTGCAACTTCTTCAACGAATGCACTTCAACAACACCACTGAGTCTCCACAAGTATACCTACAGGACTTGCTTTTGATTTGCTTAGAGAAATTGAACTGCCCAGCATCACTGGAATGGTGAGTCAGCAAAATGAGAGCCTGAGGTATCTGAATGATAGCATGGCAAGCCTGGGGGAGGAATTTGAGGAGCACAAGAATGAAACTGAATCAGAGCTTACTGGTCTGGAAGCTTTGCTCCAGTCTGTCATTGACAATCCACCGGCTGATGCTATAGGTGAAGCTGTAGTGAGGAAACTTCTTTCCTACATCAATGACATGGAAGACGACATAAAAATGGACCTGGGACAACTGATCAGGGAGAGAACAACCTCTGTCAGTGACTCTCTGAATGAACAACTACACCAGACATCATTGGGGCTAAAGACCTCCATCAACACCACTGGATCAGAACTGAAATCCATGATCAACGTATCCAATAACTTTGTCGACTCAAAACTTGCTCTATTCACTGATGCTGTAGCTGAAGAAATGCTGAATGCGACTTCAATAATCCATGCAGGGCAGGAATCACTGGATTCAAAACTGGTTGCAATTAATGCCTCACTATCAAATGGCCTTAGAGCTGAATTAAACCTTGCCAATGAGAACATTTGTAGCAAAATTGATGAACTTCAAACAACACTTGATTCAGTCGACACTGGTATGAAATTAGAACTAACCTCACTAGAGAACCACGTTAACTCCACCCATCTAGAACTGATGTCATTTGATGATAGACTGGAATCACTGAATGACCTTATGTCTGGGCTTGGTAATGTGACAGACAGAATAAGTGACAAGATTGAGGAAAGCGAGAAACAAATTACGGACGAACTGCTGGAAATAAAGCAAGATATACTGGAGCCAATCAAAACATACACATGTGGAGATACAGAAGGTTGGAGACGTGTCGTCTACTTGAATATGACAGACCCCAACACTGACTGTCCCTCTGGCTGGAATATCACCCAACACTCTAAGAGATCTTGTGGTAAATTCACAGGATATGGTTGTGACTCATTGTTCTTTTCTGTTGGTGGAGCCAAGTACAACCAAGTATGTGGCAGTGTCAGAGGCTATCAGTTGGATTATGAATATGCATTCGTTTGGGTATTATAGGAGGAGACAGACTACTACAGTCAATGATTTCTACTTCAGTGGCATTGCTGTAATGCAAGGTAGTCCTCGACAACACATCTGGACATTTGCTGTCGGGTATGGAGAGAATTATGCAGCATTAGACAGATATTATTATCGTGTAAGGGAACGTCTCTGTCCTTGTGATTCCCCTCATCCCATTCCAACCCCACCATTTGTTGGGGAAGATTACTTTGTGAGTCTGGATATGTGTACCCAGTGATTATGCTAGTAGTGTACTGCAGCCCAATGACACCCTCTGGGATGGTAAGGATTGTCACTCCAACAGTACGTGTTGCTCCCTCAACAATCCTCCATACTTCACTAAAACTCTCAGTGAGACAACTACAGATGATATTGAACTTCGAATGTGTAATGTTGGATCTGGAAGCATAGGAATCGAACTGATTGAGGTATATGTGAAACAGGACTACATTCAAAGTAAACTGCAGGAGCTTGATGCTCAGATAAGGAAAAACTTTGTACAACAAACAACCAACATCGATAATCTTCATTGTCATACGTGTGGAGGTACAGGAGGTTGGAGACGTGCAGTCTACCTGGACATGACGGACCCCAACACCAACTGCCCCTCTGGCTGGAATACAACCTATTTTTCCAACAGAACTTGTGGTAGAACCAGCATGTTTGGGGAAAGGAGTACTTGTGACTCAGTCTTCTTCCCAGTCAGTGGAGGATCCTACAGTCAGGTGTGTGGTAGGATCAGAGCCTACAAGTGGGCGACACCCAGTGCCTTCTATGGCTTTAACAATGGTCACACAACAATCGATGAACCCTACTTCAGCGGTGTAGCCATTATGCATGGTATGCCTCGACAGCACATCTGGACATTTGCAGCTGGGGCCAGGGAGGGAAGGTACTCATTTCAAGGAACATACCGCTGTCCCTGTGATGGAGCGGCTAATGTTGCCATTCCACCATTTGTTGGTGAAGATTATTTCTGTGAGTCTGGATCTGTGTACAGATCTAATGATTGGTTCCACTCCAATGACACTCTCTGGGATGGTAAGGACTGTCACTCCAGCAGTACATGTTGCTCCCTCCACAATCCTCCATACTTTACCAAATCTCTCAATGAGACAACAACTGATGACCTCGAGTTGAGAATGTGCTTCTCTAACAGAATGTACTTTTACCAGTCTGAAAACTTAGCGATTGAGCTAGTTGACTTGTATGTTAAGTGATCAATGGTAGACTGCATGGTAGCTATATAATTATATAGGCATGGTGGTTGTTTTATTTTGCTAAAAGATTAGACTCCCTAAATTTGTAAAACTTGTGATTTAGCTTCCTCTCTAACTTAGTCATTTCAATGAATGATCTACCACATTTACGGCGGACATCAGAGGGCAGGTCAAAAATGCGAGATGCATGTAGCAAGAATGGGATAAACTCAACATTGATGTATATACAAAAGCAGGTATTCTCAGAAGTGGTGGCAATAACGAAAAGTGAATGAATGAAAAGCCATAAGTTGATAGGTACAGCTCATGTAGGAGCTTTACCACAGAGTGGGTAGAGAGAGATCTGTAAACCCAGTCCCCCGGTGAGACCAGTAGTTGCCACGAGACACCCAACACTCCTCCCCCTTCCTCATCTCCTTCCTGCAACCATTATACACAAACTGTATTAGTATACACCTCTCACTCCAAGTTTCTGACTACCACTCTTCACCATTCTTTCAGTCTACCAGGCATGAGATAAGGATGCGCGGATTATATTTAATCTGAGGTTAACCCAATGAGAAAGGTTATCTGTGCCAGCGGTTACGTGCTTATGCTCACTCCCATTATACTCAATCAAACACCACACCCTTAAAGTCTCATCACACAAGGAGTTGCTTTCAAATCAGATTTGGCTGAAATCGTGCAGTGTCATAGTCCGAATGGGCTGTCTTTGATATAGCTAGTACCTCTACGTAAATACCATATACACTGGGGGAAACTTTCAAGGAAAAGGTAATTCGAGGGTAAATTTGACTTTTGCATACTGCATGCTCTGTCATACAAAATGGTTCCTGTCCACAAAATTTGTGGAGAATACTTTTACAACTGGCCGTGACATTCACACAACTTCTTTCCCTTTTAAAATATTATTGTCAGGTCCATCTAACAGTTGAGGCATAGCGACAAGGGAACCATCTTAGAAATGGCACTAATACTCACCTGAAGAATGTCGGAGACCAATCCTTCCCCAGTCTCTCCCTCTCAGCCCTCGCTTGCCTCTGTATCTGAGAGATAATACAATTCCATATTTCCTAACAATGAGCTGCATTGGATAATTTGTTGGTTGTCTTTTAGCCCTTTTCATTATTGCAATACCCATCCTCTAGTTACAATTGGTTGCTTGGTGTACCTGCTCCACTCTGTGTTTTTCTTGTTCAGCCTGTTCAATGTAGCCCTCCTCTAATAACCTGCAAAAATACAACAGATATTAACTAAATGCTTTTAGAGTGAGCTAGGTTCGAATTTAGGCCTCGTGTTTTACACTATTCGTCACCAATAACGACACAAAACCGTGTATCTTCAGAGTATTTACAATCAGTCACGAGCCGCTAAAGGTGTGGTGGTTGGCTGACCTCTGGTCAGGTCTGTATCTGGAGTCTGTCGGAGGCAGTTTGTCCCTCATTCCCTCCTCAAACCCATTCAACTGGATAGCAAACTGGTTGAACCCGTAGTACTGGTCACTGTCCTCGGGCATTGGGGCTACAGCAACAACAGAACATAGCCACATTGTATGTCAGTAAAGACCATTACAAACATATCCCTAGCAGCAACTGGCAATTCAATGTGATTTAGGCAAAATGGTCCCCCTTCGTTTTAGCATGGTTGAACTACAGTATAGCTAACCTACATACGTAATAATTATGATGTTGCTAAAGGTAATGTTGAACTACGGTTTTAACAAAGAGACATGTCAGGGGGAAACTGCATAATGTGGAAAGGTAACACTAGGAAAATGACAATTGGTTAGTTATGCAGGTTACACCACAGCTAGACATCACCAAATGGGGCAGTTGTCCCATTGACGGATGGGACACCGTACCTGCCTGCCAGACAGGGGAGGCGTCTCCGCTACATCATACTAGGTTATACAAGTGGAAAAATCATTTCTTCAAAATGAAAGGGGGATATAGGGATGGTTTGAAGCACCAAAAAGGAAGAAACAAGGGGTCATTACACAGCAAAGATGCACAAAGCTACATGACACCATCCCTATATCTTTGTCTGATATTAAACTTTACTTCAAGGTAAACTGTTGCAGAGTGGAAATGACGGAGACGTCAAGCGCGGCTCTTTCCCAATTAGGGAGGAAAATGTCAGCAGGGCGAGATTGGTTGTGAACAATAACACAAAGATATAGGGATGGTGTCATGAGAAACAAGCGATCGCTTGATATGCGTGCACACCTCCGGAAAATTTGGAGACGTTCTGTGAAAAAACCAACGCTTCAACTGCTTCCGGTAAGGAGCTAGCGGGTCTGAAGAAGAAGAAGATGAAGAATATGATGATGATGATGATGACACGAAAATCGCGAAATCGCGTAAGTGCGAATTCTCTGGTGGGGTACTGAAGGCACGTAGGAAGTCTTGGGGCATATGTATAGCTAGGTATTGGCCTCTAGACTATTGCTAGTGATTTTGAAGCCATGGTGAGTCATTCTCGCTTAGTTTTGAGGCGTTTTGTACGCGGATCACGTGAGATTTCACTCGCGTCATCCCTATATAGCTAGAGCGTCTACCGACGCTCTGATTACAGCTAGACACAAGCCAACACTACTACAGCTACATATACCAGAAGTGGGCCTGAAGTGATGTTTACAACGAAAGAAATGAAAATGAATGTTAGTTTCAGTATGAGCAAGCAGTAGCACCGAGTTACCCAATACATTGCTGTCATTGACAACTACAGCACCGTTCCTTCTACTGCAGCCACCAGATGGTGAGGACAGACGGACAGAGAGGCTTTTGAATGGCGGGATGGGGGTGGGGGTGGGGGTACAAAGTATGCATGGAAGTTAGGACTGCACCTTCTAACACAGACGGACAGAGAGGGTTTTTGCGAATCAGTAATGGAGGGATAGTGGTACTTGTAAACTATGTTGGTGCCTGTAACTTGCTTATGGTGGGTCCACTTGGTACACTGATGTATCCCCGATACGGGTTCATTGAAACAGAAATTACAAGTTTGTAAACAATAATAAACAGCCTCGTGCTAACAACGAATGCTTGTCTCTTGTTTTTGGTAGAGTCTAAATAGAAAATATAGTGGTAGATGCAGGGATGTTCCGGAACCCCCTACCAGTCCTTTTGCCTGGTAAACAGAAGCAAGCGGCTTGCTTCTGTTCAAAAAGGCCTGAGACAATAAACAAGTGAGAGTGTGAAATAGCCTTCACTTTCAAAGCACGTACATCTGAGAATTTTCACTTGATTGAAAATTTACATTTGTGCAGGAAACTTCCAAACACTTCGCTATTCGCTCTACCGACAAGGGAAAGGAGTACTGTGGTACAATAGTTATGATGCATACGAGACTTCACATACTTAAACTACATACATACAGATGCACATGCCATTGATGTTTTGCACTCCTCTTGATGACGTTTCACTGAAAATGAATCCAGGGCTATGAGCAAGAGGGGTTAAGATCATCAGTTTTGCCTGTCATATATATGCTCTAAAAGAACCCTGAAAGGGAAACTAGTCTTGTCCCCATATAAAAAAGGGGTTTAACCAGAGTCAAGATAACCAATTGGAATTTATTAAAATGGTTCATCATGAGTCGTAATTACAGCTATGCATAAAATTCAGTCCAAAATATCACACAAGGTCAAAAAATATGTATGTATTCAGAATACTGTTGGCTGAATTTAGTCATGCACTGTCTCGCTATGGAAGCATCTCCTGGTAGCCCCTGTGCCGTCTGTAGAGGCATCGTCTCACGCCATTTGCCATGTCACTCAATGTCACCTTGCAACCAGGGCCATGGAACTGATATCCAAACCTTGTCAGTGTGTGTTTGGTCAAGGTATAGCCAGCCCACAGAGCCACCAGAATGTGTGACGAGAGAAGAGTGACGATAATGATCAGTTCAAGTGTGTAGGTTTCAACTGAAAGATCATATTGCCACAGGTTAATTGCAGAAATGAGAATCCCAAACAGAATCATGTGAAAACCGAGAGACAAGTTTGCAACTGCTGACTTGCAAGGCTTCAAATATGTGACTACACAAGCTAGTGTCATGCACACCATTGTTTCAACAAATCCAGAGACACCGGAATCAAAAATGTATCTGAAACACCATGCCTATTAGAAAGGAAAGCAAAACAACAAAAACTGTCCCTCCAGCCAGTGCTCTGTAGTCACGAGTTCCATTCAGACCATCTTTGAAACAGCTGTGGAGAGCCTCAGCAAATGCTGTGATGGCCAGTCGCTTCCTTGCACTCAGAAACCTCGACAGATATCGGTACACCCTTGTTGGGTATATGCAGAGAAGGAGGGACGGAATCAGCGTGATACATGTGAAAACTATTAAAGCAATGACTACGTATTTGATAGAAGTAAAACTGTTCCACTCTACTGTGGGATCAACGTAAGAAACTTCCTTCAGAAGATACCCAGTGGCGTTATAGACGCTGGCTTTATTTCCCAACTGAAGTGCGGTGTAAAGCACAGAAATATTAGAAAGGAAGATGAATGACGCAAAGGCACGAAACACAGCATCACTAGTTACTTCTGTGATGTTTGCTTTACTGAGAATGATCTTAAAAGGCTTCCACAGAATTTCAACAATTCTGTATTTTCTTCCATGCAGCTCCATGAGAATACAGGAGATGATGACGAGAACAAATGGGTAAATGGCTGGTATTAGATTAAGCACATGAACATGGATGCCAGTTAGTTTCTCACTGATACAAAACGGTGGAATTATGACCTTGAAAAAGTTTAAGCTCCAAAACTCAGACACTGCCACTATAAAGTCCAGCAATAATCTCAGAGATAAAGCCACGTGATTGTGTATGTAGCCATACAGGAAATAATAATGATAAGTTCTGATTGCTACTGTTGACTGACAGAAGACCACATATCCCAGCAGTGGGCCTGAAGTGATGTTTAGACGACTGACAACCAAACAAATGAAAATGAATGTTGTTGGAACAAACTGAAAAAACAGATATAGACAGATGGCATATCCTGACCAGAGACTTGAGCATTTGGCACATTTCTGGTCAAATGAGTAGACGGCAGGACCGTAGCCATCCTTACACTCCCCACACAGCAAACCTCTTCTGTTGTAAGGACCACACATCACCTCATCCAACTGGCTAGCATTGCTGGGCATCTCTGAATACATTCTGTTGCTACTGTTGACAGTGTGTGCTAATGACAAAAGCCAACATAGTATCACCGTCTTCCCCCAAGGGTGTTGCACAGCAATCATTTCTGATGTCCACCTGGTTGCTGTCACTGCTACAGATTAACCACTTTCCACACTCGCACTGTCCAGTGGCATTGTGGTAGGTGATGCTGTAGTGAGAAAACTTCTTTCCTACATGAATGACATGGAAGACGACATAAAAATGGACCTGGGGCAGCTGATCAGGGAGAGAACAACCTCCCTCAGTGACTCTGTGAATGAACAACTACACCAGACTTCATTGGGGCTAAAGACTTTCATCAACACCACTGGGTCAGAACTGAAATCCATGATCAATGTGTCCAATAACTTCATCGACTCAAAACTTGCTCTTTTCACTGATGCTGTAGCTGAACAAATGCTGAACGTGACTTCAATAATGCATGCAAGGCAGGAATCAATAAATGCATCGCTATCAAATGGCCTCAGAGCTGAATTAAACCTTGTCAATGAGAACATTTGTAGAAAAATTTGATGAACTTCAAACGACACTTGAAATCAGAACTAACCTCACTAGAGAGCCAGGTTAACTTCACCCATGCAGAAATTACATCATTTGATGATAGACTACAATCACTGAATGACCTTATGTCTGGGCTTGGTAATGTGACAGACAGAATAAGTGACAAGATTGAGGAAAGCGAGAAACAAATTACGGACGAACTGCTGGAAATAAAGCAAGATATACTGGAGCCAATCAAAACATATACATGTGGAGATACAGAAGGTTGGAGACGTATCGTCTACTTGAATATGACAGACCCCAACACTGACTGTCCCTCTGGCTTGAATATCACCCAACATTCTAAGAGATCTTGTGGTAAATTCACAGGATATGGCTGTGACTCATTGTTCTTTTCTGTTGGTGGAGCCAAGTACAACCAAGTGTGTGGCAGTGTCAGAGCCTATCAGTTGAAGCGTGAAAATGCTTTCCGTTATTACTGGGAGAGGCCAACTACAGTCAATGATGCCTACTTCGGTGGCATTGCTGTGATGCATGGTAGTCCTCGACAACACATCTGGACATTTGCTGTCGGGTATGGAGAGAATATCACAGCATTTCATAATTTTCTTCTACGAGGAATTATCTGTCCTTGTGATTCCCCACATCCCACTCTAACTCTAATCCCACCATTTGTTGGCGAAGATTACTTCTGTGAGTCTGGATATGTGTACCCAGGTGATTTTACTAGTAATGCACTGCACTCCAATGACACTCTCTGGGATGGTAAGGATTGTTACTCCACCAGTACATGTTGCTCCCTCCACAATCCTCCATACTTCACTAAAACTCTCAGTGAGACAACTACTGATGATATTGAACTTAGAATGTGTAATGTTCAGCCCGGAAGCATAGGAATCGAACTGATTGAGGTATATGTGAAACAGGACTACATTCAAAGTAAGCTGCAGGAGCTTGATGCTCATATGAAGAGAAACTTTGTACAACAAACAACCAACATCAAAAATCTTCATTGTCATACGTGTGGAGGTACAGGAGGTTGGAGACGTGCAGTCTACCTGGACATGACAGACCCCAACACCAACTGCCCCTCTGGCTGGAATACAACCGATTATTCCAACAGAACTTGTGGTAGAACCAGCATGTTTGGGGAAATGACTACTTGTGACTCGGTCTTCTTCCCTGTCAGTGGAGGACCATACAGTCATGTGTGTGGTCGTATCAGAGCCCATAAGTGGGGGGATAGCTAGTGCCTTTCCATGGCTATAATCATGGTAATCACACAACAATTGATGAACCCTACTTCAGCGGTGTAGCCATTATGCATGGTATGCCCCGACAGCACATCTGGACATTTGCAGCTGGGGCCAGGGAGACGCCGTATCTATCTCTAGAAAGATACCGCTGTCCCTGCGATGGAGCAGCTCGTATTACCTTTCCACCATTTGTTGGGGAAGATTACTTCTGTGAGTATGGATATGTGCGCCCAGGTGATTTTGTACTCCACTCGAATGACACTCTCTGGGATGGTAAGGACTGCCACTCCACCAGTACATGTTGCTCTCTCCACAATCCTCCATACTTTACCAAATCTCTCAGAGAGACAACTACTGATGACCTCGAGTTGAGAATGTGCTTCTCTAACGAGTTACACTTTTACCACTACGAAAACTTAGCGATTGAGCTAGTTGACTTATACGTCAAGTGATCAATGGTAGACTACATCGCAGTCATCCAAGTCACGGCAGTTGTAACTTTTTTGCTCAAGCTAAAGTCCAGATGATTAAATTCCGGAGAATTGTGCGTGGGCGTATGTTTCATGCGCGCCGAGGGTAAATATCTTAGAGCCCGCGTAGTTCGTACAACAATGCTGAGTCGGCTTAATTCCTGATAGTTGGAGGCATGTTGACCCAGGTACTGCTTACCCTGCCCAGAGGGGTCCTCACACCCGTCAGCTCACTCGGCCCGCTCCACTGTCGCAGAGCCCACTCCACGCTTTGATGACATTGCGATGACGTAAGGTGAGCGATGGAGTGAATGCGGGTGCCCTGATGGTGTATGCTGCAACTTGGGTGGCATGCTGGAGTCTAGACAAGTACTCCAGCCATGGTCCAGGGGGAAGGCAGAGCCTTCCTCCACCCAAATCCTCTGAAGTATATACCTGGCTGGCCGCCAACATGCCCCTGCCCCTTTCTCAGTTGTCTCCTAGCTGCAAACTCAGTCATATTAGTGGTATAATAATAGTAACATTCATAATACATTACTCAGCGCATAGGTATTGGTATTGTCAGGCACGTTTCGTTGCTTTGATGACATCTACTACGACTGTTCCTGGATGGACGCTGCATTTATGCGGGACGATAGTGCTGCCAACTCTTGCGGTGTTAATCGAATATACGATAGGAAGGCTGAGCTTGACCACCTCCCCAGTGCCTGTATTGTGGAATCCTCAATGCCCCCTGCCGCTGCTGTTGTCGCGGCGCCAATTCTGAAACTGTGCCCCGCGTACAGTGCCGGGTCGAGACCAATTGCTGTCAGGGCCTCCCGTATTTTCAGGATTACCCATGGCTTGGAGAGGGGCGAGCCATCCACCCATCTAAACAGCGGGCCTGGCTGCTGCCCTCGAGCCGCTACAAAGGCAAGAAACAGGTGTGTTACATAGTAGCACAGTGTAGACTGGGTTATGTCTAGTGGGTCTTGTAGGCCGTATAGGGTGCAGAAGGTTAAATATTTGTTTATACCTGCAACATAGGTCCTCCGGGAGGATGCTGCTAGACCCTCCCGAAAGTATCCCTGAACTGACGTCTCCAAGCTGCGGACGTCCAATCGAGCAGGCCGAGGACCAAGGTCCGCAGATCCTGTCTGACCTGACGGGGGGACGGGGCCATGGCTGGTGGAGCTCTCTGCAAAAAGACAGATGCACGATTGTGTGACAGGTGATCCGCCAGCTCATTATGGATCCCAGGTATATGTGACGCCTGCAAGTGGCAGTCAAACCTGGCCTCCAGGAAAAACAGACACCGCAGGAGCTGCATCAAGCCCTTGTCATGGGCGGTCCTGGTGGTGATGACTGCCACCACTGCCTCATTGTCGCACCTGCACATCACTGTATCACCCTTCCACTGGCTGCCCCATGGCGCCACCGCTAGCACCAGCGGGACCAGCTCCTTGACTGCGATTGAAGCCGTTGCCACCGGGGTTCCAGCCCACTCCAACTGGAACCACTCATGCATGAGCCCAATACGCACCACATCCCCATGCGCCGGATGCATCCGACACCACTACCTGATCAGGTACAAGATGTCCACCTGCCACCAATAGTGACACACCATTCCAGGACTCAAGGAATGTCGCCCACCAGGCCAGATCCGACCGTGCCTCCTGATTAAGCCTGACATGATGATGTGCTGCTTTCGAGAGTGATAGAAGGTCGTACAGCCTTCTGAGAAACGTGCGGCCAGGGCGCACCACGGTGGCTGCATGCTGCAGTTGACCTGTCAGCAATTGCAACTCCCGCCGTGTACACGATTTCTTCTCTGCCCAGGACTTGAGATCTTGCTGCAACCTCTGCAGCTTCTCAGCAGGCAGGCGCAGCTCCATCTCGACTGTGTCAATTTCTATGCCCAGGAACGTCAGGCAGGTTGACGGTCCCTCACACTTGTCTGCGGCCAGCGGGATGCCCAGCCGCTCGCAGACATGATGGAAAACGTCCACATTCCATGGGCAGTCTCCCGTGTGCGGACGGCCGACTGTAATGTAGTCGTCTAGATAATGCCATAGGAATTCTACGCCCGCATCCTTTGCGCACCACTCTAATGCGTCGTTGAATAGCTTTGGAGCTGAACGCAGACCAAACGGGAGTGCCGTGTCAACATAGATACCACCCTGCCACCGCATTGCCAACAAGTGGCGGTCCTCTGGGTGCACTGGCACTATTCTATAAGCCGCCTTTATGTCAGCTTTTGCGAGTTCCATCCCCTTCCCCAGCTGCAGCACCGCCAATGCAATCTCCTCCACTTTTGTGTACCTTAGGGAACATAGGGCAGGGTCAATGCCATCGTTAATACTTGCCCCAGCCGGGTACGACAAATCAACGATCAAACGCCACTTATTAGGCTTGTGGGGCTTGGGGATCACACCGAAGCGGCTGACGTGCCAGCTAGAACCCGACCCCATCTCATCTGGAAGGGGGCCCAACACCCGGCCTGCTGCCACTTCCTCCGCAAGGTACTGTGAGACCACCTCCGGGTGGTCTCTCGCCGACTGCATATTCTTCTGCACAGAACGGATCCGATGTGCCCGATCAAAGCCAATGCGGAATCCATTGCAAAGCCCCCCTGTACATAGACCTGGTCTGGGTGGGTCGTGAGCGCTGCTTCCCACTCCGCCACAACCAGAGGCGTTGCAATACTGCCACTCTGTACCCTGGCCTGGCCGGCAGGCTTCCCCTCTGCAGTCCCCTTTTGCTCCAGGGCCAGCAAGTCTGGGGTGTACTCGTAGCCACCTGCGGCACGGGTAAGCATAATACGTGAGTGTTATGTACCTCCCTAGAGCCGGCCATCTCTACCCCAGTGTGACCTGCCCAGTGTCGCTTGAATCGTGAGGTATATACAACCTCGGTCACACTAGCAAGCTAGTGGACAAGGTGACAGCTGAAACAGGCCACACTTACGCTGATGGCTGCTAAACACACCCCCCCTTTCGCTCATCTCTCAATTAAATAACAACATATTTACAACACCATATACATGACACTACATGAAAGATTAAACGGAACACCAATATCCTAGACTGGCGTGTGCCGGTCACTGTCCCCTGCTACGCCAGACGAGGGCGCTTCCCCCCTGAGCCGCCGCTAAACCCTTGATTCCCACACTGCCCGGCTCCATGGCCAGAAGCCCTGCACTTGGAGCAGACATGTGAGAAGCGGCAGTTAGGGAACCGGCATCTGTTGACACCCCCGGGCATTGAACAGGCGGCAAACTTCCACGGATGGCTGTGCTGGGAGAGGGCATGGAGGCTGAGGAGCGGGAGCAAACCTCCCGCCATCAATTGCTGCGGAGTAAGCCAAGGTGCTCCCCCATGCCAGAACACGCCTTGGACACCTCTCAGTTGTGTGATGCTCACTGAGGCAGAGTTGACATATCGCACGGCGCCGAGCTCTCCCCCCGAAGCACATATTGAAGAGCGAGGTGTTCACCACCGACCAATTGAGGTCCTTCGTCATTTCCGCCCTTCGCCTGAAGGCACG